TTCTTGTTCATTTTGTTTTGGAATCCAAACACGACATACCCAAGCTCGGATTAAAGGGTAAAAACCATATTTTTTAATGTTCTGCAAATAAATAGTCATTACTCTGTATAAAAAAAGTAAGCAAAAACTGAACAAATAAGTGAATAGCTAAACATGATATTAAAATATAAAGACAATAGAAGATCCAAATGGACCCTGAATCCCTAAATATAAAGACAATATGGTAGAAACGTGTCATAATAAAAGTATAAATCCTATGTAATTTACTGGAATGTTATTGATACTTTTAATACATGTATGATAATTGCTTATATCTATACATGTATGACAGAGGTGAAATTAGTATACAAATAAATCAATGGTTAGAAACAATAGAAATCAAGAATTAGCTTAACGAATCTTTCATATTGTTTTTTGAAATGATTTGTATGGCTACCTATTATGGAAAAAAAAAAGAGAAGCAATCTTTGCTCCTTAAACAGTATTTTAGACTAATTTTTTCAACGATTTACCTGGTCATCCATTAGAGGCACACGAAAAATACCTTTATTGATTAAGTTTTGTTTTGACAATATAAACAATGTCTTTGTATATAAAAAAAAAAAGCATCCTAAAATTAAACTTATCAAACTATGTTTTCATTGATGTATTCTTTCATTAAAAACCTTGTAAGGAAATTAGAGAAAAGAAATGACATGCAATCTTATAATGAAACAATGAGTGTTTATTATAATGATGGTCTATTTGTAGACCAATCAGAGAAAAAGAACTAAAAGCTAAGATAAACTAAAAGATGAGCATCACCAATTAAAGTTCGTGAAGTGCATTGAGAGGGAAGAAATTATAGACCACAATGATAGCCAACCAAGTAACAAAAAACCATATTGTCAAGGAAAAAGTCCTTACATGAAGCAACAAAAATAGGCAGCAAAACAATTGATCTAAAGCAAAAAAATAAACATCAAATGAAACAAAAGACTACCCTGAAAAAACATGTAAAAACCTGATGAAAAACAGGAAAGCATGGCAAATTATGGTTGGCATGCACTAAAAAAGAAGTAAAAATATAAATACATGATAATTCAAATACAATTGAAGTTCAATTTATTTTGATGTTGCAAAAAGATTCATAGATGCTTAAGCTTGTGATTAGAAAATCTTAACATAAAAAAGATACAATAATGAATAAAAAGATTACCTTTTGACAATAATTGAACGATATCTTTGTAAACAATGTTTTTAGGATAACATGATAGTTTTCCTTCATGATCAAAGGAAATGATTTTAAGCCCATTCTTTAGTAACAGCCGCTAAATATCTCTGTAAATTTTATAAAAAAAAATAAAAATTCTTAAAACTTACCAACAACATAAGATTTTGTATTCACAAACATAATTGTCTGTGTGATGGTTTTTTATAAAACTAATTATCACCCATAGAGATGATGATGCGATGTAATCCATGATGCCACTCAATGAATGACATTATTTACTTTAAAAAATAAACAAAGGACGATAGAAGAAGACTCTTTTCTATAAGAGCATTTAACTAGAAAAAATTATGATATGCTTTGGTATCTTTGAAGACTTTTTGGAGAACATGTCAATGATGAAAGTAGGAACAAAGGATGCACCACTAAATTGCAGAATTAGACATAAAGGTAAAGACACTTGATGTTCAATGAAATAAAAACGATCATTTGTCAGGTGACAGTAATTTAAGATGCAAACAGTTACATAAGTATATTTATTTCTCATAACATAGTCTTAAAAGCAACAAATAGAAAAATGTTCTAACTTTAAAGTCTAGGTCCTCTCCTAAAAGATGATCTGATAAAGAAAATAAAGAACTGCAGAGGAAAACATGACAAATCATGGTTGCTATGCATTGATAAAAACAAAAACACAACCCAACCCAAAAAACAAAAGTTGCACAATAACACACCTTGAAATATCATAAGAGAGATGAGAGCCGAGAGAATTGAATTGCTAAAAACACACTTCAAAAGAGCACCATCCATGCAATAAAGCAATTACAAAGAAAAACAAAAAGGGCTCGCCAACTATACTAGCCAAAATAGAAATGCTAACTAAAACAAAACAGAAAATAATGAAAAGGCAAGGGCAAGTATGTGTGTATAATGATATCTATGTCATATTTATTTCAGTAACCGCCTCAACTTTATAGAAGAAAAACAAGACCCTATTATAGAGAAAGAAAAAGTCAAAAAATGACAATGTAATTTTTCAAAGCATTTAATACATCGATATCATGATCTTGCTTTAAGTCAAATACTTTCAAACTCAAAAGCATTTAATACATCGATATCATGATCTCGTTTTAAGTCAAATACTTTCAAACTCGAAAAGAAAAGCAAGACAATTCGTTATAGTATAGTGATAATATATGTTTTATAAGGAAAACTGTAGTGTTTTCCTCATATATTATAGAGTTCTTTTAATAATAATAATAACAATAATAATGTGTGTGTGATGTGACTATATGTAAATTCATTTTATTTATAAAAAATAAATTAAAAAAATTAAAAAACTGACATATCAAATCTCTAGCAGAACCATAGGCTCCACTAAATGTATGAATAGAATAAAAATATACAAGAATAAAAAAGAAAAACTGTTCTATCATGGAAATTAAAAAGCACTACATTATGAGTTGAAGTTTTTAGAAAAAAAAAAAAGAGTGAGAAGCAATTATTGCTTTTTAAGACAAATTATAACATGCTAGACTAAATATTTTTGATTTAAGGCCTAGTTCTTATTTTATTGGGTCCAATGGGCCTCTCACTTTGGGTCTATTTTTTTTTGTAATATTTCTTAATAATCATTTAGGGAGGCACTTTTAACATTTCAGAAATACATATTTTTTATTTTCTTTATTTAATGGTAAAAAGTATTTTCCAATCAATTTACATGTTATCAAAATTATATTTTTATCATGTAAAATTAAAAATATATTCTGAAATTGATTCAATCCATTCAAAGTAATTTAACAAGATTATGGAGATAAGAATTAAACAAAATCCCACAACCAATAGCATGAGGGCTTGTTGTGTTTATTGCAGGGCACTATAATTATAGTGATTCCAAATTCCAAATTATCAAATATGTTTATTTATTATATCTCAATAACTTATGATCTTGTCAGTTGTACCTCAATAGTTTTTGTTTTCAAGTGTTCTTTTTTTAAAAAAATATATATATCTTGAAAAAGCATTAAATTAATGAATATTGGGAGGGTTATGAGATTGGAGGGAACTTGTTATAATTTCAAGGAATGCATAAGATTTTACTCTCTCCAGCCATACACAGAAAGATGAAATGTACAGCTAGTCGGCGAAAAATGAAGGAATATTCTGCAGATAGTGGCGAAAAGTGTGGCACTGTAAGATGGACATGTAGCCATTGGTGGGGGAAGGTGAGAATCATTCATAGCATCCCTTTCTCTGTGGAAGAATCTTAGCAATTAAAGTTCTAAAAGTGAACGTTGTGCTTGAAATGATTCAAAAGAAGATCATCATCACTCATGTATAGAGTTTGAGGATATGATTGATATCTGCTTCCTCGTTGAAAACCTGGAAAGCTCATGATTCTAAGCCTTCATCAATGCCTGGTCCTGTCGTTTTACCCCGTCTCCTCTGCCGAGGATGGGATGATCTTGCTTGCTAGTGCGCTGTTGACATGAGTGGCCTAGCGGGGCCAGCGCAATGGAAGATGGACATTTAAATCAAACTCGGTGCCATGAAAGCGTCCATTCATTTTCCTGTTCTTTTTGCTATATTACTTCATTGGATGGAAGACTGAATATGAAGATAATATAAAAAAATAGACTTATTAAACAGATATAATGGATTTGAAAAGCTAAGCACTAAGCTATTCTATTATTTCGGGAAGATAGATGGCAGCATGTTATCGGGGCCATTCTATAGCTGAGTAACCCATACGTAAACAAAAAAGTTTATTTGTTTTTGTATTTAAAAAAATTAAATCTTTTATTTTCTTATCTTTGTTTTAAATTTTTTTATGTTTTCAAATCTTTTTGTTATCCTATATATAAATCAACTTTAAAAAATAAAAAAAATATTATTTTGATAGATTTTAAAATAAAAAAAGTTTTAAAATAATTTTTTTTATTAAATCTTGATCTACTTCTTCTTAAAAAAAAAGAAAGGGTCAAGCTGTCGACTTATACTTCATATTTATATAATTTTTTTATACTACCATTAATCCAAACACACCCCTAAACAAACGGACCAGCCGCTCTTCTTCCGTCAAAATTAAGCAGAGGTAATGACAAAGATAATTTTCAAATGGTGCATATGGAGGCTGGAGGCCTGGAGATTCCGAAAGCAAAGCTAGCCACGAGGCCCACGACTCATAACTCAATTCCAAGAAAGCATGTGGGGGCCTGATGTTTTTTCTGCAAGAATATTAATGTGAAGAATGATTTCTTTTAGAATATGCAGAGGATAGATAAGAAACGACGAATTGAGGAATATTTGTTTCCCACGAAAGATTGTGGAGGACGTTGAGTATGGTCTGGCATAGCCAACGAGTCTGGGGTTTTGGGTGAAGAACTGTATGTTAGTACCTGGAAATCAAATCCTGGACCGAGCATAGTAATTGTTACAGACGAAATGGATCAGGTGTTCTATGGTTAATCTCCAGACGTTTTTATCATGAGAAGTGCTTAGATTTCCAATCGAATAGGATGCTGAGATGTTGATTGAACCAATTTGCATGCAGCAGAAACTTGGAATTCGAAATTGATGCTTAAAGGTCTATATTATACATTGTTGAACATGATAATCTCCTCATGGAAGATTTGACAAGGTTATCTTTTCCTAGCTGAAAAGTGAAAACACACAAAACACTTGGACACGTCACCCATAAGATAGCTTGGAGAAAACTCATGCTATACAGGTTAGAGTTTCCTCGGAGAAATATCACATATATGGACAAATTTAAATAAAGAATTTCTGATTAGCCTGTCAAAAGCACTGTGCCGTCGTCGTAAGGGAGAAACATCTTGCTCTCTTCAACAGAAACGCTCCAAAGCATGTCTGGGCAATATTCCCACGATGGAGAAGCCAACGAAGGATAAGAAAAATTGCAACCTTCTTCACTAAACCCATCACAAACTGGTTCAATAGTGTTTTCAATGTCTCTCCATATGTCATCCATCGAGTATCCCTTTTCACCCCCTTGCACCGCCTCTCCGTTTTTTCCTGCCGAAGGC